GTGACCTTTCTGTAGTAGATCCATAAACGCGAATAGTATCATCACAGTTTTCGTCGAAAACATCGTCTACTGTAAATTTTTTTTGATTTCCAGCCATTGCAAATAAAAAAATTCTTATCGTACTTTAATAAAATTATTATACAAAAAAAAAAAAAAAAAAATTAATTTTTTTTTTTTCTTCTTCTTTTAATTTTTAAAAATCATTATTATTATCACAAAAATTATAACTTATATTTAATTAAGTGAATAAAAAAAAAAAAAAAAAAAATAATATGCTAAGCGCGGTTTCTAAAAATAATTTAAATATTATTTTAATAAATAGATCAAAAAATATTTTGACTCAAAGTTTAATAATAATATTTCTTAAGTAAAGTCATTATTAGATTTGAATAAAGTCAAAAGCGCAACTTAAATTTTTGCAAGTTTTTTTTTTTTTTTTAAACTCCGAATATTTTCGTAAGTTTCATCAATAATTTTTTTTTTATTTATAATAACATTATTTGAAATTTACAAGTTGAAATTTTGATTTACTACGTATTACCAAATAAGGACTTTTTATCAGTCTTCCGGTCTCAGGTTTTTGATTTCAATGGACGCCGCCTAGATTGAAAGTTTTCTTTATTTTCTTTAATATTTTATTGGTTTTTTTTTTTTTTGTATATATTATTTTTAAATGTTGTTGAAATTTATTTACTTATATACAGTGCAATAAAGCATTTAATTTGTAAGATATATTTTTTAAAATTACTTTTTATTTAAAGTATGTCATGAATAATGTAGGCTTTAAGGAGGGGGCAAATTATTTAAGGTTATATGACAGTTTCTTATTGTTTAAAAAATTATTATTTAAGTTTAACACGAGTTTTTTTTTTTTTAATTGAATTAAAACAAGAATAATTCAGTTTTTATATTTATTTTCTTATATACGTTTATTAAATGTTACATGATCGCATTAATCAAACGTAACATCAACTTTGGAATTTTAATGTCGCAGATAACATTTATCCAGTTTGTAGATAACGTTTTTGTATAAGGTGTAATGAGTTCTTAGTGATATTAAATGTCAATAATTTATAAGAATATTTAAAAAAAAAAAAATATTTTAACTAAAATTTTTTTTTTTTTTACTGTAGGGTGAAGGGTATTGAGGTTATATTGTAAAATTTTTAAAAAATAATTTTTTTTTTTTTTTTTTTGATTTACATTAACCTAAATGAAAATCATTTTAAATTTTTAGATAAAAATGTCATTTAGAGTGGTAAGAAGCAGCAAGTTTCGTCATGTTTATGGTTCTGCTCTTAAGAGGGAACAATGCTATGACAATATAAGAGTATCAAAGTCTTCTTGGGATTCAACATTTTGTTGTGTCAATCCTAAATTTTTAGCTATCATTGTAGAATCAGCTGGTGGTGGTGCTTTTATCGTTTTGCCTTTGAATAAGGTAAAATTCTTACACATTTGAAAATTTTTTTTTAATCAAAAAAAAAATAAGCAGATGAATAAAAAGTTGAAAATTTTTTTTTATCAGGTTGGAAGAATAGCAGCAGATTATCCTTTGGTAGGAGGTCATAAAGGCCCAGTACTTGATATTGCTTGGTGCCCTCATAATGATAATGTAATCGCATCAGGCTCAGAGGATTGCGTTGTTAAAGTTTGGCAAATTCCAGATAATGGACTATCTCGTACTTTGACGGAGCCAGTGGTCGATTTAATTTATCATCAAAGAAGAGTCGGGTTAGTTTTGTGGCACCCTACTGCTAAAAATGTTCTTTTAACTGCAGGTAAGTGTAATTAAAAATTTTTTTTTTTTCTATTAAAATTAATTCTATTAAATAATTTGTACTCGATAACTTTTTTTTTGTTAAAATAGGGTCGGACAATCAAGTACTTATATGGAATGTTGGAACGGGTGAAGTTTTAGTTGAAATAGATTGTCATCCGGATATTGTTTATAGTGCTTGTTGGAATTGGGATGGCTCACAACTTCTTACCACTTGCAAAGATAAGAAAATAAGATTGATTAATCCTCGTACTGGAGCTGTTGAAGAGGTAGTTGAAAAAAAAAGAAAGCATAATTAATTTTCTGTTTATTCACTTTTTAGAAATTTTAATATTATTATTTTAACAGGAAGCAGTCAGTCATGAAGGTTCGAAAGCTGCCAGAGCAATTTTTTTGAAAAGTGGACTTATATTTACAACTGGTTTCAGTAAAATGTCTGAACGTCAATATTCTCTAAGGGCGCCTGAACATCTAAATGAACCTATTGTTATGGTGGAACTTGATACAAGCAATGGAGTAATGTTTCCATTGTATGATGTTGATACAAATCTAGTCTATTTATGTGGCAAGGTGAGTTTTTGAGGTCA